TTTTTTTTTTTTTTTTTTTTTTTTTTTTTTAGGGATTCTTAAACTTTCTTTTCGAATTTTCAGTAAGGGTACGAAATACTTGGGATTTTTAGGGAAGCTTTTCAAGCTTTGGAGGGAATTTAGGAGTACTAAATAAGTAATTTATTTTATTTTCGTTCTTCTTATTTATTACGAAAACATAATCTGTTGGATTTTTAACATAAGCCGGAGAAGATTTAATATTGCAAGAGAAAGTAAAGATTATATTTTCGAGTTTCTATTTGTAATTAAATTATAGTTCTATTCCTTTTTGTTTAATGGTAGAAGAAATTTAATGTTTCAAGGGGAAAATAAAGATTTAAGAGTCTATTTTTTAATTCTTTTTATCTATTGTTCATCAAATGTTACTGATTTTCTTTTTTTTTTTTTCTAAATTCCAGTGAAGTAGGACGATTTTGAAAAGCAATAAAAAGAATATTGAGTAGTGTGTTAGAAACCAAAAATATTATTTCAAAAAGGTTTCAATAATCCATTCAAAAATTCAGAAATTAGGAAACGCAAAAATAGCACATTTTTAAAACCAAGAAATTTTTCTTAACACTATATTTCACTATATTATACCTAAAATTTTAATTCTCAATCGTTCTTTTTTCCAGATCCTCCTCTCACAAAAATCGAACAAAGGAAAGAAGAAAAGAAAACCCTCGTATCGTCATACTTTGGCTGGCAACCCCTCGCGTTTCAACGCATCGAGCGCACGCAGAAGAAATCGTCCCTTCCTCTTCCGTCCCGCTTCGCCGTCGGTTGGCAATCGCTCATTCGGGATCACGGTATATCACGCTTCATATAGAATGCCGCGAGGCCGATGAATTATTGACCAACCGGCACCGTTCGGCCATTCGTTCCTAAACCAGAAACGATCGACAATACCAATCCCGTTCGCGGCAATGATGAATCCAATCATAATTTAGTTACATCTTATTAGACTCCTACCGCGCTGGCTCACCGTGAGACCAGGTATATAACCTTCTTAATCCACGAAATGCATCTCGCTGCTACCCCATCAACCCCTCCACCCCTCCCTCTCTCGTTTCAGACCCCACTGGCCAAGGAAGACTTCGATTCCCGCGCGCGTTTTGTCCTTCCTTCGTTGCTCTATGAAACCGCTCATCTTCCACCCGAAGATTATTGCCAACCCGAGTCTAATTTCGATCCGACGATCGCCATTCATTTATTCGATTTTTTGCGGATATAACGTGGTGGATATAAATCTTTTGACAAAGTTTTGAATGGTTTAGAAATTTGGATTACAAAAGTGTCGATTTTTTAATCGATGATCGAAGAGTTGTTTGTTGAATCTAAAGTGACAGTTTATATTTTTCTTTTTTTTTCTTTTTATCAACGATAACTAATTTCTTCGAAGAATGGATCGGCTTGGAATGCTTTCTTTTCGAATTGAAATCTAACTAGAAATTTTAATTTAATTTTCATACGAGTTTTGCATTCGACGCGCCGCTATTGCTCGCGTTTCACTCAATTTACTAGCTTGCTTACCGAGATTGATTACACTTTACTATACGGTTCGTTATACCCGCACCAATTGGAAAATACTTTCAACGAATCGAATACACGCGAAAGTAGTTAAAGTGGAAGCTGTGATTGCAGATCAATATAGTTTGCATTAACGGAAATTCCTCTCCTCAGCGTTGCCAATAATTGTGTCTTTAACGTGTACTTGAAGTAATCGAACCATTCAATTTTATTACCCCCAGTTAATTAACTTAAATCAGGTATAGACAGCAATCGGGAATAAGTCGGCCTGAATAAGTTCGATTGATTAAGTAGTGGAGTGAAAGATCTGGCATTGAATTACGATTGAAATCCAATCATAATCCAATCTTGATACTTCCTTATGCGATCCTTAGGAAAGAAATCTAATATATTTTCGCGAAACATTCAGTTTCGATTGAAATCTATCATTGGACGAGGCATTGATGTTAATTTGACGCCATTCGGGGTTTAAATAATTGTGAAAAATATTCGTGTACCGTCGGGTGTATCGATAATTAAACAGATGGAGTTGGCAAGGCTTATCTGATCAAACCTGTCGTTGCGATTTCAAACACTTGAGGCGTCATGACGCGGGATCAAAAGTTTGACGCGAAAGTTTCTAATCTTCATTCTCGCTCAAGAAGTTAAAACTTTCTTGAAAGATGTACGCGTTTCCGATTATTATTTTTTTTCTTTTTAATATTTCTTCCCCTTCTTCTCTAATGTACAAACATTAATTAAGTCAGGCTTAAACATAGAGACGTTGAAATTAATGTCAGGCCACGATTGTTGTTTGTATCTCGAAACGAGTAATTTGTATGTTAATGAAAACAGGCTTAGTTAACGCATCGATAGGCTGTATAATGAGTACTGTAGAAGAGGGTGAGTCACGTAACTGGCACGAGTTATATCTCACCTCTGATTGAAGTTAGAAGAATGATGAACGCGAGAATTTTACGACTTAATAAGATTTCTTGAGAATCTACTTCTGGGATGAGCCTACGAAACGTAATTTCTTTCTTTCTTTTTTTCTTCTTCTTCTATTTTGTTTATTCAAATGTGAACAAACAGTAGCAAACGAACAGTAACTTAAAAAATCGACAGTATATTCTTCTGCAATTATTTCAGAAAGAAAAGATGTCCCTTAAGAATCTTAAAAAAACTGTTATTTAAAAGAGAAGAAAAAGAATTGAAATCGAAACGACTCTAAATTTACGCCACATCCTCTAATTCCCCATCGATGAGGAACAAAGCAAAACCTTGATGAATATCTCACTCTGTGAACAAATGGCTCTACGAAGGCCCCTTCACCAATATTCCACTGGCACACGACACCACGAAAAGTCGAAATAAAATTTCGATCGATATCGCCATCTACAATTCTCCCTCCCCCTTTCGATCCGACTCTCGGCCTTAACGCAGCCCAACCGATCTTTGCCACGCATGTAAAACGAGCGCAGCAGCGTTGAGTCACGGATTTTATGGCCCACGACCCCGCATTTCGCGGTTCTCACGCCGGCTTAACGCAGGAATGTTAAAAAGTCGTTCCTCATTAAACGAACTGGAACGGAATTCCGGAACGGTAATATGGAAATACCCAACGGGGCAACGTGGTCTAAGCGGGAGCAATATGGATTGTGCATCGCGTGTTCGCGACCCGGCCTTTCTCGTGTTGCGCGTGTACACGCGACGCGTGAAACAGAGACGCGCTCTCTCTCTCTCTCTCTCCTTTCTCTTCGAACGCAGCCTCTCCCCGAAACGGCTCACTCGAGCTAACGCAGGAGAGAAGAAGGGAGTTTCTTTGGTAGTCGAAGGAGGATTTTTGCCGTTCACGGATTTTTTTGTCGGCCGAACGATGGATGTTGCTTCCTTGAAGGTGTTTATTACGATGGAATTATCGAGGTATGGGAAAATATTTCGATGATACAGTGAAAGAATCATCGGGTTGAAATATTTCTGGATATTTTTTATTTTTTTATTAGGAGGAAGAATAATAAGAGATCGTTGAATCAGCGAGATATTTTTTTGAAAAATCGAATCTATCGCATTTCGAGGAATTTCTCGGCTCGATTCTCTAGCATTTTGAGAAATTCTAGCCTGAGGAGCGCGTACATTCCTCTATTTTTTTTCTCCCCCTCCACAAAATTCCATCCTTTCTACTTTGAGGAACTCGTTTTCGAACGAAAGAGCAGAAAACTTTGCGTGAAACTTCCCTATTCTATTTCCATCTTTCTTTTTTAAACGAGGAACATTTCAGTTCCGCGAAGCTATTTTAAGAGTAGAAGAGTAGGAACTCGTAAGAGGCTGCGAGCAGTGCGAAACAATGGCGCCAGGAACAAATTATGCACGAGCACGTTCGCGTAATCAGCCGTGGCTAACTATGTAATTCATGTATTAGACTGGTGGCTAAAGTTTTGACGGGACGTATCCAACGTCTTTTCCAATTACACGCTCTCGCGTAATGAGAATATTAAACGGCGAGTTGAGTAGATTTTTATGTACCTTTCCATCTTTAATGATGTTTAAATACGAAACTAATCGATGAATAAATTAAAATTCGAAATTCAAGTGTGGGATATTAGAGGCTGGTCAATGATTTTCCTTCGGAAATTCGTGGAAAACAAGCAGGAAGGAAAACAGGTGACAATTTGAAGTAGACTGCCGCGGATCAAAGCGGCAAGAATGTTGGTCGGTTAAACGCGGCGTTCACGCAAGCTTGTAAACGCTTCTTTGTGGTCTTTCAGCGGTTGATTCATGTACGGAAGCAACGTGCAAACGATGCCTCTTAGCCGACGAGAAAAAAAAAAAAAGACGTGCAATTGCAACTGCAATCTATATTCAAGGTTGCCGAGATGAACGTGGTAATCTTTGGACGTTCAGGAAAACCGGAATAAAAAAAGAAAACGCGTTACGCATCGTTCTTTTTTTTTTTCTAATTAAACAATTATACAAATCTACGTTTCTTGTTTCTTGCTCGAAAAATAATCAAACCGAAAATATTTCGTTACACGAGATCTCGATCAACACCCATTTATTGCGTCATAAAAGCTAAAAAGGAAATAGCTTTTCCATTCACGAAGTGTTAAGTGTCTATACAATGAAATTTATTTATTAACAATTCATTTTCGATACTGCAATAACATAAATAATAAAAGGATTAAATATTAACAGAATGACGATAGAACAAATCGATCAATTTTGAAAAACTTTATACTTTGTTCTCAATATTCTCTTCACGAATGAAAAAGCTATATAATAATATTAATAATAAATTAAACCACAACAAACATCCATCCACCTGTAACCTCCCCTTTCCCTCTTAAGCAATCAGAAACGCGACGTCATTCCAGGAGCATTCCGAGCCGCTCTAATTCCTCGACCCGTGACCCCGGCCTTGTCGTTGATTTACCGTTCCATTGCCGATAGCTTTGAGCGCGACGTTTCAGAAGACGAAGAGGGATCCCCTTTCTGGAAGACATGGACGAGGAGGAAGGAGGGAGAGCCGAAAGGGAATCGATGTCGAAATGTCGAGAGACGCTCCAGAATCGTGGTAGTCGTGCATCCGATAATGAGGCTCGCGCGGCAAAGATTTTCGATCCCGTGCCGCAAATAATCCCTTTTTCCCTCCACATGGGAGGCTCTCATTATCGTGGAGAGAGCAAGGAACGGGCCACGTCGAAGAGTGAGGAAGAGAAGGGATAAAAAAGAGAGGGTGAGGGGGAGAGATGGGGGGTTGGACCGATTGGATTGATCGTTTTATTTTTTTCAGAAGCTGATTGAGATCGCCAGAGATCATTTACCGGTCGACCTGTTCCGGGCCTGGACTAATCAGATCAATCAGATGGAATGATCGCGAAATGAGTTCGGGATCATTATCCTCCACGAAGAATGCTTTCTCCTTCGATCTTTCGCGTTTGTCTTGCTCGTGACGGGTCCCCCTTGATCGGAAATCGAATCGTGAAATCGATCCATTCTGCTGCGCGAGCAATTCACTTGGTCATCTCGGTCATCGTTGCAAAAGGGAATTATTATCGGTGCTATGTATATATATATATTACGTTTATTAGATGGCTCGATTACGCTATTTAAACTACCCCATTGGCAAATTTAATGGAATTGGAAAATTGGATAAAATAAACATTTACATATATTTATATATAAATGTTTAATTAATACGTTTATATTGTTTATATATAAATATGTGCATATTTGTTTCAAAATTACATACTTATTATTTAAAGTTATTAAAATTATATATTCTTCGGGCTCATATTACTTGTTTATTGCTGTATTTATAGAAATTATAGGGGTTATTAATTTCTTATTTTCGTGACTAATCTCTCTTTTAACCGAGTGAAATTTCGATTATGGAGTATGATAAAAGTGAATTTTTTTTTATCGAACAAGTATCGGGACAAATATGATGAATACGAATCCCCATCTGTTATATTTCGTTGATTAAAAGAAATAATAATTTCGAACGGACGATTCGGGGCCAATTCTTGGAAAACGGCGTGATATAATAATTATCGCACTTGTCGGTGCATGGAGGCACGTTCGCTGCATGTATGTATTCACGGATCGTTTCACGTTTCTCACGGTAAATCAGCGCGCGGCTCGAAACAATTAGTCGGCTCATTAGGGAGAACGGGGGCGGCCCAGCCACGCTTTTCCATCGTGTAAATTACCGCGTCCCGTTCGTCCCGAGAAACCTCGCCTCGTTGCTTCGAACAACGTGGAAAATATTGCGCAATAATTCCGCGAAAATGTTCGCCGCTGCTGGCAAAACGAAAGTTGAACGAGAGAAATCATCTCGCTTTTCAAATTGATTTACACTCTTGCCTCTCTATGATCGTGTAAATCATCTCTTGCCTCGGACAAATGTAGCGGATTTACTCGGTTCATTCGGCCTGCTATAAGGCTATTTGCATTTTTCAACGTCGTTCCTAATACATATCGAGACTCGTCGTTTGTCAAAGGATAATCTTGAAGTTTATAGGTGTTGGACAGGGAATATTTATGCGATTTAAAATATACGTTGGTATAGTCGCGGTCTGGATACAAGTTTTTCACGATATGTTTCGAGATATTATAAAAAATATTATTAGAATTAGACTGCGAAGTTTGTCCATTCCTGTAAAATTTATATTACGCGCAGAAATCTGTAAGATGCACGATACGTAAAATTGAAATGCATATAAAATATCCAAAATACGTATATTATGGTATTTTAAAGAATAAAAAAAATATCTAATTTTTTCATACGTTCAATCATTTCTAAATTATATTAGATTAGATATTCTTTGTTATTTTCATAAATCTTCTATTCATTATCTCTTCGTT